ATATACAAAACCGGCTTAACCCAAAATAAACAGGAATTCTTACCGTTATTGTTATAGATTTGACCTATGTATTTCCGTGTCATAGCTTTATTAAAAATAAAACTTTAAAACTTTAATAAAAATCTGGGTGGGCAGATTATTTTTTTTTGTTCATATTATAAGAACTGAAAAATTAACTTTATGGCCTTATAAAAATATTAAAAATAAAATTTTAAAATTTTTACAACCTTTCTGTGGCTTTGCTACGGGTTAACGAAAAATCACCTGGCTAATTTTTATCAAGTGTCGCAGAATTTATAAAATAGCTATAAACATTTTTTTTTTTTTTTTTTTTTTAGCAAGGACACTGGAGCTTCGTCAACTATAGCATCTATAAATTTTGAAGCTTCACAGATCTGGATCTAAGTGATACGAGTTTGGACCCTAAATTTAGATCCGAATCGATGTTTGGACCGGGTACGAATCTTCAAAAATACCTGCGAAACACTAAGTAAAATTGCAGATTTTTAAAAATCTGCATTTTTGCCGAATTTTACAGATCTGTAAAAATCTGCATTTTTACCGAATTTTACAGATCTGTAAAAATTTGCAATTTTAATTATTTTTGCAGATCGAATTTAAAAATTCTGCAAAAATCTGCATTTTCGCAGAAAATTGCAGACCTGCACTAAAAAAAATTTCCCGATGATGATAGTAAGAAATTTAAAAGGTTATAGTCAAAAATAAATAAATAACATACTTTAAGAATACCATCTGCGTCAATATCAAAAGTAACTTCGATTTGAGGGACACCTCGAGCTGCAGGTGGAATACCGGTCAATTCGAATTTACCAAGCAAGTTATTATCCTTTGTACGAGCATGTTCACCTTCATATACATGGATAAGTAAACCTGGTTGATTATCCGAGGATGTGGAGAATATCTCGGATCTCCTGGTGGGAACTGTGGTGTTTCGTTTAATAAGTGGTGTCATAACACCTCCTGAAGTTTCAATACCGAGAGAAAGTGGTGCAACATCAAGTAATAGCAAGTCTTGAGTTTTTTTTGATGTATCACGAGAAAGGATTGCAGCTTGTACAGCAGCACCGTAAGCGACGGCTTCATCAGGGTTAATGGATTTGTTGAGCCTCTTGCCATTAAAGAAGCCTGATAGCATTTTTTGTATTTTAGGAATACGAGTAGAACCACCAACTAAAACAATTTCATCAACTTGTGCTTTATCAATTTTAGCATCTCGGTGAACTTTTTCAACCGGTTCAATGGTAGATTGGAACAAATCTTGATTTAGTTCCTCAAATCGAGCACGAGTTAAGGAAGTGTAAAAGTCGATGTCCTCAAAAAGTGAAACAATTTCGATCGAAGTTTGAGCTGATGCAGATAAAGTACGCTTTGCACGTTCGTAGACGACGTAATGCTCGAGCATTTGTAGTAAGGTCCTTCTTGAATTTTCGCTTAAATTCTTGAACAAAGTGATTAACAAGACGATTATCAAAGTCTTCACCACCAAGATGTGTATCACCTGCAGTAGCTTTGACTTCGAAAATTCCCTCTTCCATGGTTAAAAGAGACACATTAAAAGTACCACCACCTAAATCAAAGATCAACACATTTCTTTCACCGGCGGCCTTCTTATCTAAACCATAAGCGATAGCCGCGGCTGTAGACTCGTTAATGATACGGAGAACATTTAATCCAGCAATCATACCAGCATCTTTAGTAGATTGACGTTGTAAGTCATTGAAATATGCAGGAACTGTAATAACTGCATTTGTAACTTTTGTACCAAGGAAGGCTTCGGCAATTTCCTTCATATTAACCAAAACCATGGCTGAAATTTCTTCAGGCGTAAATTGTTTAGTTTCACCTTTAAATTCGACTTGGATATATGGTTTACAATTCTTATCAATAACTTTAAATGGCCAACGCTAATTAAAATATAGACCCATTATAAAAAAATTTTTTAGTTTGTTATTTATAATGAAATAATCGCTTATAAATGCCTTTATAAAAATTTATCAAAATTGAACTTGCAAAAAATTTGTTTTTTAACTCGCTGATAATGTGCTATTCAATGCAATTTTATATTTTTTTTTATAAATGTATTGCAAATTAGTATGCTAATAAAAATGCTAATATTGTCAAATATATTGGCAATACTTTAGTAATAATAAAAGCCTAAAATTATCGGGTACTAAAGGTGCTAATAATGTGTAAAAGACTATCAAATTGCTAACTTAGCACTAATGAGGCACTTTATCTTGCTTACTATTGGCAAATAATTGCTTATCTCGAAATTCAAAGTACCTTCATATCCAATTGTACTTTAGGATCAGTAAATCTACGACCAATAAGACGTTTAGTGCCAAAAACAGTATTATAAGGATTCTGGTTTATTGCGGCGTCACCGATCAGACGCCCTGTATCGGTGAAAGCAACATATGAAGGTGTCGTTCGATTACCCTGGTCGTTTGCAATAATTTCAACCCGGTCATTTAACCATACACCGACACAAGAGCATTTCGTTCCTAAATCGATACCAACTAAAGTGCGTAAGAAAAATATATATATTAAAATGTTAAAATATTAAACATCAAAACTTCATATAAAATATATTTGCGTACCAGCTTTTCCTTCTGCCATTTGTAAACTTTATTTATAAATATGGATTGCTTTTTTTTTTATGAAAAATTTGATAACGTTTAGAAAAAAGAATTTTTTTTTAATGTTTAAAAAGCCTATAATGTGGAAAATTTATTTCAGGAATGAGAAATAAAATGCCTTTCATTGTAAAATGAGACTATTTGTTAACAACTGTAGTATTTTATTTCTAAATTTGAGTTGATAATGGTCCTCGTGAACACATTTATCCAAAAAGGGACGTCTAAAAGCCGGGTAGTTACACGAACACCAGCCACTGTGGCTTGTGATCGGTGTAGACATTATACATAGTAATAAGGTAGCTGCGCGACGCTGTCACGCGAAACCAGGAACGTAAATTAATGAATTAATGATTAGATTATTCAATTACTTTTAAGATTATTCAAGTACTTTTAAGATTATACATAGTCTGAAGAAATAATGGGTAAAGCTTGTAATTTATATTATTTTTCTTATGATGAAATAAATTTTAATTAATTTTATTATAAGAAAATCAAAATTGGAAATATTTTTTGGATTTGAGGTAGTGAAGCAGGTGGTTGTTGATTGAGCGATTGGGTTATTGTGAAATGGAAATGATGGATTAATGTAATAATTAGTAATTAAAATATTAAATTATATAATCATAAGATGATATAAGTATAGCATAGAGGTAGAATTTTAGAAGTAGATCGATTTTTTTTTTGAACATTAATGAACTAATGATAAATAGCTTATTTTAGGATTTTTAATATTATATATATTATAAATTAGAATTTTGGTAATAAATATTTATATATCTTTACAATAAGTAGATGAGATTTTGTATATTTGGTATATTTTTTGCTTTTTTGTCGTTAATCTAATATTTATTGTCGCAGCTGATGCTGAAAACGGCTGATGCTGAAATTTGGGGTCTCTATTTAAATCTATAATACCTACTAAAATCCACATATACTTTTTTATTAATAAAACTACCCTACTAACCCTAACCTAACTATGAAAAAAAAGTGTAAAAAAAAGGCCCAAAAATTTATTATAATTTTATAATAAAATATGAAAAAATTTCAGCATCAGCCATTTTCAGCATCAGCTGCGACATTTATTTTATTTTTGATTAATTGAACTTAGCGCTTTTTAAGTAATAATTATGTACAGTATAAATTTAGAATTTGTGAGTTGCGTGTTAAGGTAATTTAGTGTAGGGTGTTTGAATATTTTTATTTTTATTTTTAACTGATCTTAACGAATTATTTTAGAGAATTTTTTTGATAAATATATAAGTGTTATAGATGATATTAAACTTTACTTGGTATATTTCGAATTATGGATATTGTTATAATGATTTTAGCTGTGTATAGAATATTATTACGTAGAATAAAGATTATTTTCATTATAGCATTCGTCTGGCCATCTATCTAGATTTGATGTTTTTTCTGCATATTCTTCCATACGTTTAATTTCTATTGTAAGTGCAGATGGTAATTTTATGTCTAACAGGGATTCATTAAAAGGGCGTAGAATTAATAGATCATCTAATTTGCATATTCTAGACAGCATTACGTATGTGCTGTTATAAGCTTTGTTGTTTGTTAAATCAATTATTGCTTTTTTTAGAGTTCGACCTTGACATTTATAATCAGTAAAAGCGTAAGCAGGAGTTAATGGAAGTTGAAAGCATTGAAATCGGTGTTGTATTTTGGTTCTGTCAGGTTTCCAGGCAGTATATACGCAACCTCTTTTCATAGGATATATAGGTACATGGTTAGGATAAAGATTTTCATAAGCACCAGTTGTAGTATTAATTAATTCTATAATAACATATTTAGGGGGTTTTTAAGGATTATATTCTTTTTATCTTTATTTATAGAATCAACAGAGGCTTCATCATATACGATTTGTTTGATGATTCCTGATGTACCATTTGCTAAGTTATCGTTAATACAGATATTTATGGTTAGTATAATTTTCATTCCAATAAAAAGAGGTAGAATTCCACAAAGTGCATTTCTTTTGTGTCAGATACTGATAAAAATTTTTTGCATAAGTTTCTTTTAAAGGATGTCAGCAATAATTATCTTCTGCACATGAGTAGATGAGTAATTTATTGTGTTTTTGAGCATTTTCTCTTGTAGCATCTAAATTTATTTGTACACAAATATCATTTCTTGTAACTAAGAAGGTTGCATCATCCCATTGTTTATTATTTATTTGATTATCTTGAATGATTCTTGAACGTAATGATTTATGTTGATCTTCTGTAATAATGCCTCTACGCATATTTTCTAAAATAGATGCATAAAGTGGATCATCTATTTGACACATAGATTTTTTAAGTATTATAACATGCTTGATACTTAACTATAGGTTTCTACCTATTGTATTCAAGACTTGATGGTTGTTAATTAAGTAGTTACTTTTACGTTTATTATTATTTGATAGAATTTCAGTAGTTTCAGGTAATTGTAAGTCATCTAATATGTTGATATGGTTAGTTTTATTTGGAATATATAATGCAGTGTCTATAACAGGAGGCAATTGCATAAAATCTCCTGAAAAAAGAATATTTAATCCTGCAAATGGAGCAGGTGAATCTGTTGCTTTTACAATTTTTAAAAAGGCATGAAATCATACTAATAGAGATTTTCCTATCATAGAAATTTCGTCAATAATAATATATTTTATATTTTTCCAAAATTCTTGTAATTTTTGCAAAGTTTCTCCATTTGCAATACTATCATTTTTACAATAATCTTCAAATCCAAAACCACAGGCAGTATGAATAGTGTAACCTGATACAACAGAAGTAGCAATTCCTGTAGGTGCAAGAATGATAATAGTGTGGTGCTGATCTATGTAATCAAAATAAGAAATAATTGTTTGAATAACTTTGGTTTTTTTCTGTACCTCCTGCACCTGAAAGAAAGAGGAGTAATTGAGATGGTTTAGTAATAGCATTTAGTTGATTTCTTTGGTGATGATCACATACAAGGAAGTATGCTTTCTTTTGTTCTTTATTTAATTCTATTGCAAAATTATTTAAATAGTTTATATTTTTATATTGTATAAACATGTCATTATTTATAGATGTGTTATTGTTGATAGATATTGTATCTGTTTTTAATAAATTATCTTTAATATCATTTGTATTATTATCTTGAAAAATAGTTTTTTTAGATAAAATAATTGTTTGCCATATTTTGAGAAGTTTATCATTGTAATTATTGCTTATTCAAATTTCAGATTCAGTGTTTGTATAAGTTGTAGTTGGAAATTTATGCATGTTAAATTTATCTCGAATATACAAGTATCTTAAAGCTATATTTACTGTATTGATGTCTTTTAAACCTGATTTGATAATTGATATAGGGTCAAATTTGATTTCATTATTATTTATATCAAAATTAAGTTTGTGGTCAGTTTCATTATTAAATAAAATAAATTCATTATCTAAATCAAAAGCTTCTACAGGTCTATTCATATTTTAAATATTTGTAGATATAGAGCTATTTTGTCTTAGTTCATGATCTAAAGTTGATTCTTCAGAACAACGATATAATAATTCTATATTATTAATAATAGATTTTAATCATAGTGATAATGTAGAGTCATTAAGAAATTCTTGGCATGCTTTAGCCCATGGATTATAATTTTTTTTAAGGTCATTGACATTTTTCCAGGGCTTAAAAAGTATAAGAATACATAGGCTGTATCTTTCTGCATTGTTAATATCATCTTTTTTTGGTATTCCTTTACCATTTAAGATGACTATTCTTTCTGATTCTCATGTTCTGTGGATTTGAATATGGCTTTCAAACTGAGGATGTGAGTTGTTATGTAAATTAAATTGAAGATTGTTATTTTTAATACCATGAAAAAGAAATCTATCAACACATCTATTTCCTTCTTGTGAAGATTGACTATTTAACATTGCAATTTGATATGGAGTTATTGAAATTTTTTGAATAGTTGCAGTATAATCATAAAGACAAATATTCTTTAGTGGGGTATTTCGAAACTGATAATTGACACAAAGGTTTGCTGCAGTTAGTTTATTATTAGATGAAGATATTAATAAAGATTTATCTAATAAATCTTGGTCACTATCATTATCTTTACTTATATTTAATTTATCTGTTGTGGGTTTTTTTGAATATATATTTGATTTGTGTTGATATTCTGACTATTTTTTTGTTCATTAATTTCTAATAAATATGCTGCTATTTGTAGACTAGTAAATTCAGTTTGGCCAGCATTTTATTAAGATATTTTACAACAAGCTTGCATGATTGTTCTACAATATTAATAGAAAATCATTGAAAGCTTTTTTAGAAAATTTTCTAATGTAGCAGCACACATTAGAAATAAACTAGGTGTATTTATATCTGATTTAGTAATATAATCTGTTATACAATATATATATGCTAAGGCAAATTTTCTTGCAGAAATAAATTTTATATCATTATTTCCTCTATATACAGATATAATATATGGATTGTGATTATTGATGAATATATTAGTGCGTTGAACAGTAATTATTCCATATTCAAGATCAACAGTACCAGGAGGATTTATTAGCTTTTTAGAGAAATCAAATCTACATTAATAGATGGAACCGTGATTATATTTTATACAAGTTTGAGTACATCAGTGAAACAATGTACGTTTAACAATAGAAAGTAAATCTTTGCAAAAATTTTTTGCAAAATTAGGTAATTTGGGATCAGGTATAGAAAAAAAGATAGGTGCATTCATTTTTCTTGTAATGTTTTTGGAGTTTTGTATTCTTTTTCAAGCATTTGATTAGTTAAAGTTTCATTTGCATCAAGAAGATAACTTGTGTCTTTTTTAACTATGTTACTAACATATGATAATAAGCATTGGCAAAAAACTTAATCAGTTTTGAGTTTTTGTTGTAATTCAATTAGATCAAGTGATCCATAAAGCCATATAAGTAAATAGCAGTGGGGTGTACCACGATCTTGATATTCTATTACACCATAATAATTTTTTACTGGTTCAAATACACTACCTGATTTTTTTCATATAACAAACTATAATGTTTAGTATGGATTTAATTATAATATCAAAGTATTTTGCAACAGCTAAAGAGTCAAGATGTGCCAATCGAGCATGTTCTGTTGCTATTGAAAAGTTTTTAGGTAATAAATTATCTAAATTAATATCTGCACCTGCATACATTATAACTATAGGACTGTGCAAATCAGCAGGATTAATAGTTACAAACAAGGAAGATACACCATCTCTTATTGTAGTTGCAAATATTTTATTTCGTATATGGAAACATGATTGATAAGATCTCATTAATTTTGAACCAGCAGAGTTAATATTCTTTAATAATTCAAAAATATTTGAATTAGTTATAGGGTTTTTATTACATATTTGTTCAACTGCTACACATATTTCTTCAGGTTTAATTAATGAAATTAATTTAGCAGATTGATCAAAATTTTTACACTTTGTTAAATTGTAAGCTTCTAATGATACTTTTCGTCTTTGCAAAATATCAAACATAATAAAAATGATTGATTGATGTTGGGATCATGATACTGCATAAGATAATTAATATATTCTTTTAAAGTTATATGCGGATTTAAGCCTTCATGACCACCAATACTATATGGAAAAAAAATAGGGAATGCAGTAGATAAAAGAAATGCATCTTTATATTCATTTAAAGGTTTATTTTTATGTGCCAAATATATGATAGATGGTTGTGAAAAATTATTTTGATTTTTATTTTGATTTAAATTATTAATTTTTGGTTGATTATTTGATTTATCTAGAAGTTTTTAAGAGATAATAATGTTATTTTATTTTCAGTTACTAGAAAATTATTAATATGTAATATTTCTAAAGATCTAAGCTTACAAGCATTGCCAATAGTATTATTATTAACAAAATCTTCTTCTTCTTCTTCACTACTTGTTTGGTTGTATTTATCTAGTAGATCTTGGTTATAACCAGTATAATATTCAATTTTATGAGGATCAATATTTATAGCTGTTATTGTTAGCATTAATTCTTCTAGTATATCACCTTCAGGAAAACTGTTTAAGGTAATGTTGTCAAATTGAAATTCTTTAAATAGAACATTAAGTTTAAAAAGCCATTGAAAAGCTGCAGCAATTTTACTTTTTCTAACTTGAAATATTTTTTTAAGTTGATAATCAATAGGCTTAATGTGGCCAACAAATACAACTTTGAGTTATTCACATAATTTAAATAAAGGTAAAGATAATACTTTTGATAGTGATCTTAGATTTTGGGGCAATATTATAATGTATTCTTTAAGTTTATAGTAAGTGTGTTTTTTATTTGATAATTGGATTAAATTTATACAGGGATATTCTGGTGAGATTAAAAGTTGTTCTGGAATTGTTAAATCCTTAAGACAAGATGGCATAGGTCCAATCTACATATTATTAGCTAAGGATAATGGTGGTGTTTTACCTTTTAGCAAAAAATTGTAATAAGATATACAAATTCATAGATTGAAAAATTTATAGAGTTCAAAGTTAATATAATTTTGAAAATTCTCTTAAGGATATATGAAACCATTATGCTTAAAAATAATTTTTAAACTACTAGAGTCAAGTCAATAAGTGGATGACCATATTGAAAATCAAGTTCAAAAAATGGTTTAGTAAGTTGTTCTGGTACTTTAATTAGAGAAAGATCTATATCTTTTACAGAAACTTATTGAATTCTTTGAGACTATACATTCTTGAGCAGATAGCACAAGATAGTTCACGTAAATTATCTAATTTAATATTTTCATGAAATTCAGTTAAAGCATTTTTTGAAAATTTTGCATCAATTATTTGTGGCCAATTAGCATGTTCTCTCATCGAGTTATTAAAATCCTCATCTATCTCTAATACATGTAGAGGCACTTTAGCATTTTCAGCTTGACAATCTTTAACTAGATGATTAGATATTCGTTTCTATTTCATTTGTTTATAATTTTTTTTTTTTGGCTTCGCTACTAGTTTCAATATTCATTATTGTTATCTTGTATAGTTACAAGTTACAAATTATTAAAATAAAATAGACATATACTGTAAGTATTTATAAACATGTTAAACTAGTAAGATAATTTATTTTAACATGAATATATAGTTATAGTAATATTATAGGTTAGATCATATAATAAATTATATAAATAAGATAAATATAGCAAAAATATTCAAAAAGTGTAATTTATAAAGTTGTTATTTTTTTAAAATTTTTAGTAAATCAATAAACAATTTCATTTTAGTGAGCTTATTGTGCTTATATATATATGTATTTGTACTACTCATCAAGTTTTATTATTAACAAATATATATATACTTATAATAGATTATTTATATTTGCAAAACAATATAAATTAATATATATTTATTATTGCTGTGGTATGATAAGTATAATTTGTTAAAGATCATCAAACCTAATATGGTATAATCATATGAGATATATAAAATATATATTTATTTTATTAAATTATTATTTTTTTTTCAGTATTAAGATGATCTTTTTGGCTGGGAACTTTTTATTAAGTAGAAATAACATTATACAATTATAACAAAGATATATCAAGCCACATGTACACCTTTTGAGTACATATTTAAGTAGTCCACCAAAGGTTCTACACTATCTGCTATACCTGCACTATACACAAGTAGATTTTGTGACACCTATAGATTTCGCACCCACCTTAGGACTTACTAAACCCCATATTGAGTTTAGTCTATCTACGAGGTAAATCTAACAGAGTAGTCCATGTCTCACACATGTTTTTATCTGCATGTTTGGTAATTTCTTCCCAATTAGTACCTATTGTCTGCCGCCATTATGTTCATATCTTATGCCACCTCTTGGGGTGCTGCTATAACACAATCCGTATTTCAAGCACAACCTTCCTAATTAGTATTCCATTATGTACTCCTGCCCTTGTCTGGTTCACAACAACCCCAGTTTCTACACTTTAACCATCTTTTTACCCAGATTCTCTATCAGTCCCTCTCATACTTCTAGCTAGCAACTCAGACAGATTGGTCTGCCTAGGCTTTAAGTGCCTGAAGGATGCCCTCCTCTTGGTTTATACTTTTGAAGCATATGCCTTTTTCTCTGGTGTGTCTAAACCAGTGATTCAGCTAGTGTGTCCCCCACTAAAGGACCTGATCGCTCGGTTCTCCAATATCAGGCCCCAGTTCAAATTCAGCCTTCATGTAGTATCGTCAAAGATCACTGCTACCTCCAAACTCAGGACTTCCCAAACAGGCTTCAATTCTCAGTCATGTGATCCGTGCCAAGCACAGCCCACAGATTATAACCTTCTGGAATCTTTTCCCTGGCTCTACTAACTGGATTACTAGACTATCTATGGGCCAACATAAGTAAGGATCGTTGTCTGACATATTCTATTTTGCTATTTCTGAAAGCATTGTCCCTGGGATTCAAATCTTAGGTCTATGCCATTACCATTTGGTAAGGGTAATGACTAGACCACTTCACTAAGACGCCATATCTCTTATTTTATTAAATTATATACTAGTTTTTTATATTATAAATCAGATATTTAAAATTGTTTTTTATAGCTACAACAAGAAATTGAATAAATAGTAATTTATATTTATAGATTAAAAGAAGGAACACAATCAAAAAATTTATAAATTTAGAGATGTCACATGATATAATAGTATCTAACTAATACAATAATGATGAAATTTAAGAATTAATAGTAACTTATTTTCTAACTTTCTTTCCCTTTTCTTTTTGGGGTTTAGTAGTATTTCTCTTTCTCTTTTTAGAATGTAGTTTTTGGTTTTCTTCGAATTCATTATAAAAATCATTTTTATTATCTGATTCCACAGTTTTTTTATAATTATCAGATTGTTTTTCATAATCTTCATCTTCTAAATTTACAGAATCAGGCAGGTTATTATTCTCTATATCAATTTCTTGTGTCTTGAAGAGTTTAGTAGATTCTTCAGATGTTTAGGGATTGACAAGATTGAAATTATCATCAATAAGATCAATAATCGATGATGCATTTGGTATTGCAAGTGAGGAACTTTCAATCTGATTAATATTAATAGCAGAAGTTTTCAAATAGTCAATATCTATAGTTTCGATTATTATTTTGCCAGACTTAGAAAATCTAATTAATTCTGATACAAAGTAGTTAGTTTGTAATTTAATATTTGAGTCTAAATGATCCAAATACTTAAACTTTGGTGATTTGAGAGGATAAACAATAGTCATGTCCATTTTGATATCAGAATTAGAAGTAACTAGATTATATTCTATAGTTTTTGCACCAAAATAAATAAAATCTTCAATTTTTTTTTGGTTCATAATTAACAGTTACTGAATATACACAATGCAGAACACATTCTAGAAGATTAGTTGCATCAAATTCTCTGTTGGAATTTTTATCATCAACTACATTTACATATGCATAGCAAAATGTAGTTCAGAGCTTTCAATAATATATTTACCAAAGATAAATACAATATCATTAGAATTAAATACATTAACTGGCTTGTTCATAGAAAAAAAATATTTGAACTTAATTGATTGAAATAAATTTTTTGAAAGTTTGTATTTCACAAACTATAAGAGGATAAATGATTACTCTTTACAGAAACCATCACAATGAGTAATACTGTATAAAAAATTATTTTTTTTTTGGTTTAAATTTTACAACAGTAAATAAAAATAGATGAAAACTTTATATATTCGAGTTATTATATTATTTAAATATTCGATTTAATTAAAGGAAATTATAGTTTTAATTATCAAGGTTGTGATAAGAAATTCAATTCATATTAATAACATCAATGAGAATATTACCAGATCAGATTAATAAAAGAAGGTATAATTAATCAGGCTATTTGATTCTGCATTGTATGCACATAAGATAAGTTTTTTGTCTCTTAATGTATCAAAACAAATGCTTACTACAATATCTTTTAAGTAATCTAATTAGTTATTCAATGTTTTCTGAATTGTGATTAACTGGTCAATTACTCGATTGCATTTGCTTGATTTTCATTTTTTTTCATAACACAACGGTAAAATAAATTAATATATATAGATTAATTATAATACTAGTAAAGATCTACAGTATAAACTACAATATTTATACAGATTAAATATTATTTAGAATATCAAAAATCACAAGCAGAAGAATTTTTAAAAATAATTAAAAAGAGCAAATAAACAAACTTGTTTAACAGTGGGGATCATGCATAAGCAGATCTAAATCTACATAAAATCTATAAAGTGAGAATCATACTATATCCTTGAATCGATTACCAAAAGCACTAAGGTATAACAGGTATAGATGCTTATACATATGTACGTACCAGGATTTAGAATAAATATATAGCCACAATTTTATAAAATGAATCGCTTTTATATGGCATTAAACAAAACCAGTATATATGATCATGTATGTACATAATGTCCAATGAACAATTTGAATATGCCATCCAATAGGATTCAAGAATTTGAACACAGATAGTTGCCTGTAACCTATACACTTTGTTACTTCATACTATGTTCCTGGTATAGTAACATAAAATTTCACAGACATGTGATGATGTGCACTAAAATTTCATTGGCCAATTCTTGACATTATGGTATTCAGGTTAGGGTTAGATGAAGCTTATATATCAGGGATGATAAATGAAAGGTCATTTACTCAAAATTTAATTATTAGGTCATTTGAGTAAATGACCTGGTCTTTTGGGTCATTAGGTTATTTAAATCGTTTACATATGAAGTAATTTTAGTAGTCATATATCTAATATAAAAAGTTATCAACTGCTGTGATTGCTAATCAATGATAGTAGCTACACACAAAGTTGAAATTTTACTAAGATAATATCTTCAGTAAAGTTGTTTAAAAAAAACTTAGATCGATTAAAATATCGATTAACTTAGTAAATTTTGACTTTTATATATAGCTACGATTATCAATAATATTTTATAAAAATTACTTTACTGGTATATCTAATAATCAAATTTGATTGGCTAAAAGGTGTTGGACTATCAATTAACCAATGTTAATAACCTTCTATAGTCATTTGAATGTAAAATGACCCAATAACTAGTCACTAGTCATTTGGGTCATTTCAAGTCATTTACCATTCCTGTTATATATAGCAAAATTTTGCAAGAAATTTCTTTTGTTAAGAAACTGAAGAGGATTTTTAATCGACTAGTTTGATGGTGGCACAAATTGCTACCTATCTTATTCAGTATTTTTTTTTATTAGTTACTATATAATTCACTTAAAAACTTACTATCTATTGTAGTGTACAAGTATACAGTTAAATATTAATAAGCTGCATTAGAATTATTGTTATTTTTAATGTTACAGAATTTACTCACCAATGTGGCATGTACTCAGAATTAATATAACTTCTATCATACAGTAATTAATGAAAAATTTTTGTTACAAAATTTGCCATTCAGTAATCATATTATGCATTAAGGTTGTATTAGTTGTATTAAAATTAATATGATTTCTATTGTGATTTATAGTAAAAAATTTATTATTGCAGTACATACTGTGGTTAAGGTTTTGTATTTTGTTATTTTGATTTCTATAAAAAGTTATTAAAAAAAATTCTGTTACAAACTTATTTATTATTCCAGTAATTACAGAATGTTGTTAAGCTAGTTGCACTAGAATTATTGTAATTTCTATTATGCACTATAATTTAGAATTTTGTTACAGAATTATTGTGATATTTCTACTATAAAATATTGTTATAAAACTGGTGATCAAAGTAGTTAAGATCATGTTAGATATTGTGATTTCTACAATGAATTACTATAAAAATTTCATCATAGAACTTGCTCTTTAATATGGTATAGTAATTAAGGTTAAGTTTTAGAATTATTGTAATTTCCATTATTAGTTATTATAAAAATCCTGTTCAAGAACTTACTTATTATTTTGACAACAATAGATATGAGACCTGATTGCAGGGATATGCCTGCTTGACCTGGGTATTCCAAATTTTGGTTTACCGGGAAATTTCAAAAATTCAGAGATTCTTGAAATTATTCAAAACAGACAATTAGGTAAAAAGAGTGAATATAGTAAAATAATAGCAATCACAGTAATAAAGATAATTCTAGCTTTAAGGCCTATTCTGATATATAAAATAGATAGTGAATTAATTATAAATAAAGGTTTTTTTGGCCTTTCAGGAATGATAACTCCTATCTTTGCTTTACTAATACATTTATTCAATCATAAAAGTATCTTTATTAAACTTATAATCATATCTCCAAGTATAATAGATTTTGAACTTATATATTTGTTAAGTGTTTTTAAAACCTATATTACTTTTATAAACTATCTCAAAATTTTACTTAACATCTTAGCCAAATCTAACACATTTTTTTCGACTGACCTTATATAACCTATATCTTTATTACATGATATAGAGATGCGATCCAGATATTTGTTAAATTTTAAATAGAAAAACAGATGATATAATAAAGTGATAGTACATTGATTTTAGGTATAATTTTTATTTTGGTAATCATGATACAGTATACAGTTAAAGTGCTATTTCTATTATAAGAATTCAATTGTAGTTTTGCTTATATATATAGTAATTGAGTTAGTATTGAAATTATAATAATTTCTATTAGAAATTTTTATAAAAAATTCTGTTATAGAACTTATTTGCTATTCTGATAACTTGTATTGAGTTATCATAATTTCTATTATGATTTATTGTAAAATAGAATTATGTTACAAATTTTTGTAGTTCTAATATATAATTTACCATAGAAAATAATGTCACAAAACTTACTATTTATTCTGGTAACCAAAGTAAGTAGTTAAGATCAAGTTATTATTGTAATTACTACAGAGTAATATAAAAAATTTTGTTATTACAGACTTAACCACAATTTCTACTATGTATTACTGTAAAGAATTCATTGAATCTATTTTTACTAATATGTTACACATAGTAGTTGAGTTAGTATTGTTATAAAATATTAGATTACAGAACTTACTTACTATTTCATTACTATAATAATATTAAAATTGATTAACTTGCATTAAATTTTATAAAAATTCTGCTATCAGAATTATTATGACTTATATGATTTACTATAAAGAATTTTGTTACAGTACTTACTAGGGTTCTGAGGTTTGAGTTTGGTTTAATTTGAGTTTAATTAAACTTCAAATCAAACCAAACTCAAACTCTAAATTTTTACTAATTTCAAACTCAAATAAAACTCAAACTTGCTATTTTCAAACTCAAACCAAACTTAAATTTTAATTATAAGTTTGTTTGATTTGATTTCAAAGTTTGCAAACTGTTTAAGTTTGATTTTTGAATTTAGAGTTTTTTAACTAAACCTTTTCTTTTTACTAAATAAGCTGTCTTTAAACTTCTAATAAATGTTTTAGATGAGTATCTTGCGATTAAAATAGCAGTTAAAATGTTAAAATTGGTCTAGTATATCATGAGATATAAGTATTTTTGTCTTCGCGATTATATATTTTCTTCTTTTTATAAATAAAGAAGAAAGTATATAGTCGTGAAAACTAAAATACTGATATCTCATGATCTACCAGGCCAAGTTTAATATTTTAACTACCATTTAATCGCAAGACACTATTCTATCATTTTACTTAGAAGCTAAAAAGTGATTTACTAAAAAAACCTTTAAACATTATACTATTTTTTATAATTTTATTAATAAAATTATAAAAAATATTAAAATCTTCAAAATTGTTCCAATACAACCTACCTTTATGCTCTAAGTAAACTTGATCTACGCATAAAATTATATCATATTGGTATATGTTTACTTTATAATTTTAAAGTTTAAGAGAAAGATGCTTAATTTTGAAATTTTTTATCAAAAATTCAAAATTAAGCATCTTTTCTCTTAAACATTAAAATTATAAAGTAAACGTATATTAATATAATGTAATATTATACGTAGAACAAGTTTACTTAGAACATAAATATAGGTTTAATTAGTATAAATTTGCAGATTTTAATAGTTTTTATAATTTTATTAATAAAATTATAAAAATATTAAAATCCACAAAATTATACCAATTCAATAATATTAAAATATACAAGCAACTCTCTCTGATGATCATTCGACACCAAAAACAGCGGAAAGACAAAAGCTTTTATTACAATAAAACACAGCAATATACACAATAACAAGCACAACAGTATACAGAAAAAGGGACTACTAGAGTATAAGAAGAGTAGCTAAAGGCTTTTTCTTGTTATCATTAAAAACTTTTCTCGTATCAATAATATTAGGGAAAATAGTGATAACTCTGTATTGCA